TAATATAGTCCAACACTCAACTCAAAGATGTTCAGGCAGAGGTTAAGAGTTTGAAGCAAATTATTAAAGTGGATCAAGAATATTGCAAAAAAACCTCATGGAAAATAGTTACTCCATACACCCAAAGACAAAGATATATTGAGTACAGTGGGATTCATTATGCCTACAAAAGGGCTTGCCAAAAATTGGATGATACCAGTAGAAAGAAATAGCTACTATGATTGGTACTTCCATAGTCTCTACATTCTGAAACACTCCATCATCTCCACAACCTTTCAACAATTGGACATTTAGGTGTTAAGAAGGTATTGCTTTAAGTAAGAGAACATTTTTATTGGTTTGGCTGCTAAGTATCCGTAGACGATTGGTGTAAATCAGATGAACTATGCTGTGAGCAAAAACGTCCATAAAAGAAACAGTATGGGCAGCCAAAGCAGTATTGTATTGGAACACCACCTGAGAGAGTTGCTATCGATGTATGTAGTCTTCTGCCACAGAGTAACAGTGAGAATAAATACATCATGGTTGTAATGGACTATTTTATCAAATGACCAGAAGCATATGCTGTTCCTAACCAGGAAGCAGAAACTCTAGCAAAGAAATTCATCAATGAATTCATTTCATGATTAGAGGTACCTATGAAACTTCACTCAGATCAGGGAAAGAACTCTGAATCAGCCTTTTTTTTACCAAAATGTGCCAGATCCTTGGAGTAAAAAATATGTCAAAACAACAACCCTTTATCCACCTTCTGACAGCATGGTGGAGAGATACAACCACACACTTTTAAATCAATCAGATATTTATATGGATGTGCATCAGAAATACGAGATCAGGATCTTCCACTGTCACTTATGAGTTACCAAATACCATTACACAAAGCTACCGGCAACACATCATCATCACTGATGTCTGGGACATTATGTAAAGAGCCACTGGACCTTCTATACTCACATCCAGAGGATTGTCATTCAGTAGAGTCTAACACAAAATATGCAAAGGATATGAAACACTCCTGACTTTATACAGTTGTACCCATAAAAAACTTAAATAAGCTAATGATGAAATGAAAAGTCAATATAATGTTAATACTGATAAGAGTGATTTCCAATGAGTTGACATAGTATGACTATACAGTCTCTGCCACAAAAAAGGACGAACTCCAAGGTTAGGCAAGTGTTGAGAAGGACCATATGTTGTATTGAAAAGAATCAATAATCATGTTTACAGAATCCAAGACAGATAGTACAAGCCAAAGATCATTAGCTGTGATAATCTTTGGAAGTACATTGGTTAGGAAATGGCTCACTGGATAATTTTATAGAATAATTTACCTATGAAAATCAACCTGCTGAAGAGCCCAGGATTCTTCTCGAGGCTACTTTCAGAGCATCATTAAGGATGGAACCGACAGTGGATTTGTTGGACCACCTACCCGGGGAGAACTGCCCCAATGACAGAACATTCTTTAACCCTTGGAGAAAAAAATCCACCAAAAGACTTGGTGAATGGATAATTTCATGTACTGGTTTATTTGTGTATTAGAATTGTTCAAAGGACTTCATAATTCAGGAAGGGGGAATGGTGTACACTATATTTTCAATGTTTTAATTAGGATTTTTCTAGAATGAGCTTCTCATTACGATAACACTAAGATATAAAAAGTTCACGAAGTTTAAGAATTAAGAAGGTTCGTGTAACATATAGAAACAATAGTATGATATAAATACAAGTAATCAGTAACACTTGGATGCAGTTTGTTTAGTGTTAAAAGTGAGAGTTTTTGTATCAATTTTGCTATACAATTACTCGATTGATCATACATGGAATTCTACTGGTAATTTTATAAGTTATACGGGGACTTATACCTACATTTATTTTATGGTTTATGTTGAAAAGTTTATGCATTTGAAATTATGCCTACAAGTGAACACGGTTGCACTTAGTTACCTAATCCTACTTGCGCCAAATGGTTATAGCAAATATGTATTAAAGACATGAATTAATTGTTTATCGTTACGTGGACAGAGCTAGGCATTATTTTTGTCAAATAATGTAATGGAAAGCACCAAATGATAGAACACATTACGACAATATTATGTTAATTTCTTATCAACTGTAATATGACATTTAGAAACACTGGGTTTAAATGTTGGTACAACTCAGATATGACAGTACTCTAGTCACTGAGCTGCTCTTTTCCCAAGTGCTTAATCAAGTTAAGTATGGTCTCTTCAGGCTCAACGTCAGGCATTGCACTATTTGTGATGGTATTTATCTGTTCCAAGCAGTGACCTACTTGAAATACTTAGGGTAGTGGTTCTGGTATTCCTTGAATACTGGAAAATAAATATGCTTCACCTCGCTATGGAAGAAGAAATAAGTTTCTAGCAGCATCTCAGTCAACACCAGTTTGAAACACGTTGTCAGGAGAGGTTAAAGTTGATGCTCTAGAACCCCTATATTGAAACTCGTCTTCCATCTCTGCATGGCACCTGGATTCTCCATGAACAACTGTGGTCCCAATAGTACATCTTCCATCCAAGGAGGCTCTATGCTGAACTACAGGTCACCATTTTCACTGATTAATGTTCTGTTCTCCTCCAACAGGGAGACTGCTCCTACTAAGGGTCTTTGTAATTCTCTGTGTAATTCTGTTTCACGCTGACAAGTATAATACCTCTGATCTGCGCGGAATAGATTTTGCCTTCACATGTTTTTGTTTTTCTTCTTATTTTTACTTTTCCTCGCGTTTGGCTGCAAAGTACTGCTTCAAAGGTCTTCACTGCTCAATAATCTCTGTAAGCATTTTCCAAGAGACAACCAGTGCGTGCACATATGCTTCAGAATAGTTCCAGACTCCACACCATGTAGATTATGGAATTCTCTAAGTTCTTGTTTCCTATTTGCACTCGTGTCCAAATATTGATAGATGTAAACAAAAATTGTAACAAATTGGTATTGCAACTTCTTTGCTGCTTTTTCTGCTGCCAAATGAAGGAGATGACATGAACATCCCCTAAACCACCATTTCAGGGTTAAGTTTCAAAAGATAACCTGCAACAACATTTTTTCTCCCTATCATCACATTTTTGTTGTCAACAGCTGATGATGCACAAATTTTCCCATTTTAAGGCTAGTTCTTCTTGAAGGAGTCCTGCAATATTCTTGCCTGTTTATTTCCCAATTAAATTAGGATTATAAAGTAATGAATTTACAACCTTTTCCTTGTTTTCATCGAAGTATGTCACTGCAATAAGGTACAGTTTACTGTCAAAGCCATTACTGCCATCAGTGTATAAGTTTAAAGCCCTATTTTAATGTTACTCACAATTATTGCAGAGGTTTTGGTTCTGGAGTATCTGTATCTTTTAAAGACTTCCAAATACAGAAACGTTCTGCTAAACGTTTTGAAGCATGGCCCCGAAACTGCCAAAGGAAGATTGTGTTCCACAACGAAGAAGATGTATAAATATTTCGCTCTCATCACATCATTTTCTGACTTGGTATCGGGTTTTACGAATAATTAGACCAGTTTATTAATTCCAGATGCCCTTGAACAATTTTGCGGGTGTTTAGTAGCGTTGAGATGTTTTTATGTCATTTTCGCCTTCCACGAACAATGGAGAAATCACAAAAACAAATTGTACATCTTGCACAATTCATACCCTTTGAGGATGATACATCACTGAAGGTTTCTGAATATTCGTGCCAAACTTCTGCTCGCTATAAACTTTTCTTTGTTAGAGTCATTGGGGACGAAGCAGAACCATTTTCCACTCATAAAATGATTAAAGCACCATAGACGCTTACTACATAAATGCTTTTTAAATAGACTATTTCAAGCATTTGTAAGATTGAGATGGAAAGCAGAAATAGGTGAATTATATCTGGAAAATTATTTGTAGAAAAAAAGGCCGGCGAAAAAAATTCCAGTATTTTCAATAAAATCGTAAAACAGCACAATTCATACAGGCCTAAAATTAAAAAAAAGGAACAATTATGCCTAAATCGTAAGAGTTGGCATGTCTGCAGGTCACGTGTACACAACTAGCTTCCATAACATATTTATTCAACTGTCCCATACCTAAAATAGTTGGAGAATGAAATGAATATGCATTTTATTCTATACAACGCTATGCTGGTCAAGTCCCCAGACACAGCACCCATACGTTTGTGTGCAATTGGAAACAGATGCTAGTAAAACCTTGTTTTTTACATTAGATGGCTCAAGAAAGAAGGGTGTGTTTTGGATGAGACAGCCTTAAGATGAAGCCTTTGCATGGAAACCATGTTTCAAGGCTGTTGTCAGACAGAGCATGACTGAATATTTGTAAAGAAATGTTCTTTAAGCATAAATTTTACTTGCTATATCAGGAAATAAATATTTACCACAAAACTTGGTCACATTTTAGTAGATGTATCCAGCTATTTTAATGATCACAATTCAGTGTTAACTGAACCTACTTTAATAATCTTAATTGATAATAGCATAAAAATATGTATATTTTTTAACAGATCTAAAAGTATTATTTTGTATATTCCAAGAGAAAAAAAAGTATTTAAGTTGAGCATAAAAGACTGCTGCTTACCAATGCTGAGTATGAGCAATTTGCTGTATCACTTCCAAGCAGTCTGTTCTCACTGTGTAAAAAACAAAATAATGAAACATGTTTGTTTAGTAGGATATTTATGCAATGCAAGTTAAGACCTATCTGTGCTACCCCTCCAAAATTTTGAACTGATAAACTAGAGGGAAAGCAGCTAGTCAACAACACCCACCACCACCACCAATACTTGGGCTACTATTTTCCGACCAAAGAGTGGGATTTGACCATTAACATTAGAACGCACCCATGTCCCCAAACTGTGGAGCACAATTTTCTTTATTTATTTATTTTTGTGGTAATGGGATACAAACAATGGACCAGCAGATCCACAGTCCAGCACTCTAACCACTGGGTCACATTCACCCACATGTTTTTGATTGACAAGACAAGTTTTTCTGATTCTTCAAAACCTTTATTAACAAAATCAGATGTGATACAATACTGGTGCTGCTTTTATTTAGATTAAAAATTAAGTAACTTTTTGAAATACATCATAGTGTTTGAATTTTCTCAGTCCTTCCAAGTTTGTTTCCACAATGTAAGTTCTGCTCAAACTAAGAGTATAAATATCTAAACAAATTCTACACTCTCACATTAAAAAATAAGGGTGGTACAAGATTTTTTATTTATTTATATAACTCCAGTAGAGAACATTATGCTTGGAATGAAATGAATAAAGACCATACTGATTTTGTTACCCAAACATGAATTTAGGTCATTAATAAAGTTTAAATTTTAATATCCAAAACCTAAAGTGGTCTCATTAGAGCAACAGTCTTCTGATGCATTCCCCTTAACCAAGGCCATGGTCTTCAAAAAAACCCTGAGGTGTTTCCTCCTAGAAATAATCAAGATAAAACTGTAGTCAGTTTCATCTTGGATTAAAAAAAAATAACTGACCAAATTCAATAAGACATTCACATTTTAATAAATCTTTCCTTTAAATACATTTCAATAATCTCCAAAGAATATCCAATAAAATTGTAAGATTATATATATAAAACACTTACATTTTTGTTACAAAAAAAAAGCAAGCAAAATCTAAATGAAATCTTAAGTCACATCGTCATATCTAACTTACTGATTTTTTTTCTTCTTCGCAAGTGGCAGTTACTTATTTTGTAAAAAATAAATGTGTAAACAAGTTTACAATCAGTAATAATGTTTAACACTAGAATGAACTATCCAGTTAAACTGTAAACATCAGTCTCTTCTCTCCAAATAAATTTTACTAAAATAGTTAACTAGTAATAATCTCTATACGGTTTTTTTTTCAACTGAAAAACAAACATGAACATTGTACAAGCTCTTTGTTCCTTTTTTTTTTTTTTATTAAATATCATTTGTATGTCATTCTTAGCTAGCTCTTTGGTATAAGTTACATTTTCTAAATTGTCATGCTTCATGACATGGCTAAACAGTTTTGCAAAAGACATAAAAAAAAATTAATTTTTACAGTTAGCCTGAAATAAAACAGACAACAGACTCTGACTTTACCTTTTGCAAAGTGTTACTCCTTACGAATAAAGGTTTATTTGACAAATACATTTCACACTATCAACAATGTTATGATGAAATCTGGTGACATTTGAGAAGAAATGTCATCACATTTCAATCCCCGTTAGGTAATGATGTGAAACTAAAAAAACTATAATTATAGTTGATAATAAAAGAACTCATTTATTAAAAAAAAAGGAATACATGTATGTGTACTGAAGCTTCATTTATGTCGATCAAATAACACTGATACTAACATTTCCTGATCAGATTATAATGAAGTTTAAAGTTGCTGGTAGCACTGTAGTCTAATTAATCTAACTTTTTTAGTAATATAAAAAATACTCTTTCCTACAGGTAAAATATAACTCAAATACTGTCCTTCTCCCCAAAAGTACAAAATACCACAAAATTTGATTTTATGATGTTGATAGACAGTTTTTAACACAATGAATAAAAAGCTTGTTCATTCAATTCCATCTTAATGATGAAAACCTAAATGTCATGGTTAATGATTAGATAAAAAACTATAGTTCCCTCAAAGGCTATTCTGTCTTCAGCATACAATTGGAGTCATGGTGCTATTAGAGCATCTTACTTCAGATTTAACACTTGCACATCCATTATTCTAGTCTGATTAAACTTATTTATGCAAAACAGCCTAGTTGTTTTTAATTCCCAAAAACAACTCGGCTAACTTTCTACTACATTTAACTAACAACAATCATTAAAAAAATAAATCTAACATACAAAATTATACATAACTCTAATGAACATGAACCTTTAGGAATAACATACTAATACATATTTTTTATCAATATAGTGGTATTTATGTACCATAAATAGACATGCATAATTAAATATAACACAAACTGTTTACTGTGTATTTACTAAAGCTGACTCCATTAAGATTAGTTTGTTTGTTAAGTACAAAGTACAAAATGAACTATAAGTGTTCTACCCATGAGGAGCACTGAAACTTAATCTTTAGAATTTTAAGCACTCAGATTTACCACTGAATAACCAGGAGATAAGTTACTGAAGGTCTACTAACCAACTATGAAGCAAATAAAACCATATAAGAGTGCAAATAAGACTTAAAACAATTTGATCAACTAAGTTATTCTCAATACAAAACCTAATATGCCAAAAAAAAGTTTTTCACTAACATTTTATACAGATATTAAACTATCAGATTTACCTTATTCTGAAATTCAAAACTAAAAAAAATATATAAGAGGCTAACAGCTGAAACATATTTAAAAAAGTGTACTCTGTACAAATTAAAACAACATAAAAATCTTTAAGCTTTCTTCCACAATTCTATAAAAATACATAGGATTACTGTAGACCTTTCTTCATTTCTGAAAATTCTTAATTTTAAAGCCTTTTTTAACTGTAACTGATAAACATTCTCCCTATCATTCTCTTACAATCAAAACTAACCAGTGTGATTTTTAAAATATAAGATTTTACTTGCTTCCAGTTTTATGTTTATCAACAAGCAAAATAATAAATAAGTCTGTGTTTATGTATATATATATATAT